CGGCCGCCGACGCCGCCTCGGACGCGCCCGCTGCTGCTGCTGCTGCAGACCCCCAGCAGCAGCAGCAGCAGCAGCAGCAGCAGCAGCAGCAGCAGCAGCGCAAAAGCCTCGCGGTGGTGGGCCAGCGCTGCGTCATCAAAGTTTTGAAACCCGTCAAGAAAAAGAAAATCCGAAGAGAAATTAAAATCCTCCAAAACCTTTTTGGAGGCCCCAACATCATTAAACTCCTCGACGTTGTCAAAGACCCTCTCAGCCGCACTCCCGCACTCGTAAACCCTAAACCCTAAACCCTCGGGCCTGCAGGGGAGGCACGCACGCCGACTGCGAGAAGCGCCAGCAGAACGCACGCGGGGGCTACGGGTTCGGGGGACTCGCGAAACGGGGGTGGGGTTTAGGGTTTAGGGTTTGGAGTTCTGGGTTTAGGGTTTAGGGTTTGGGGTTTAGGGTTTGGGGTTTTATGGGCGCAGATCTTCGAGTATGTAAACAACGTCGACTTCAAGACTCTCTACCCGACTCTTCAAGACTACGAAATCCGCTACTATATTTACCAAATCCTGAGGGTGCGCTCAAGGGTTTAGGGTTTAAGATTTAGGGTTTAGGGTTTAGGGTTTCCACTCTGTGACAAAGCCACAAGGTTCCCGGAATGGATATCTGCCAGGGGAGGGGCACAACACCAGCTTTAGATTCATGAGCCAAAATGTTTAGGGTTTAGGGTTTAGAGTTGAGGTTCGAGGGTTTAGGGTTTAGAGTTCAGGGCTTAGGGTTTAGGGTTTAGGGTTTAGGGTTTGTCGTTGCAGGCTCTGGATTACTGCCACAGCCAGGGTATAATGCACCGCGACGTGAAGCCGCACAACGTCATGATAGATCATGAGAAGAGGTAAGTTTAAACCCTAAACCCTAAACCCTAAACCCTAGACGCATCATTTAGAGCATGCGCAACAGCGGAGCTGATCTGCTGCTGCTGCTGCTGCTGCTGCAGGGAATTGCGTCTGATCGACTGGGGCTTGGCGGAGTTTTATCACCCAGGCCACGAATACAACGTTCGCGTAAGTAGGGTTTAGGGTTTAGGGTTTAGGGTTTAGGGTTTGGGGTGCAGCTGACCGAGTGAATTCGCAGTGCGCCTGTTTGAATACCCGAGCAGCTGCTTCCTCCCTTGCTTGGGTGTCTGCGGGCGAGGGTTTAGGGTTTAGGGATTAGGGTTTAGGGTTTAGGGTTTAGGGTTTAGGGTTTAGGG